CTTATTAGACTTAAATTAAAAATTTAGGTCTGATTTTTTTTTAAGAATTTACTTAGGGGTGGTTTGGGAAGGAGGGTTTTAGAGGAAAGGAGGGGAGGATATAAATTTATATTTTAAATTAATATTTTTAAAAATAAAAGATATAAATTAATATATTAACAAAAATTAATGTATTAATAATATATTTATTATCATAAATAATATATAATTATTTTAATTTAAAATTAAAACATATGTATCTCCTCTCTTTTTCTTTAAAAATCTCCTCTCAAATATACTTTTTAGTCGCTGTTTTGATAAAATTAATTATACGACTTGCTAAAAACATATTAAATAATTAAACAAAGTGTTAAATTTATTTTAATATGAATATAAATTATTTAAAATTTTAAGATCATAAATAAAAAATTAAAAAAATAGCTTCCAACAAATTCAGTGTTACTTGAAACAATTTTGTATAAATTAATTTATTAGTTTTTAAACACACTCTAAAATAAAATAAAATAAATTATATTTTATTAGTTTAGTCATTTGAATTGATTGGTGAAACATGCTAACATGAAGAAAATAATAATAGAAAACAAATATAAACTAATGTTAATTAAGTATGGGTGAAGAAATTTGAAATAAAAATTTACTATAAAAATTACTAATATATTTTTATTTTTATTTAAAATGTATTTTGATATAATTCTGAATAAAATTTTTATTATTAATTTTAATGAATACTAACAAGACTATATAACTTGTCAAATATGAAAAATATTGAATTATATAATTTCGTGGTTGTTAAGTCGACATATTAAACCAGTTTGTCAAGTCAAATTTTTATTCGTGTCGCATCCAAACTACTCTAAAGTGTAATCCAATCTTCAATTTTAAAATGAAATTATATGCGGACAAGTGTTCGATTTTTCTGTTTAGACAACGACATTATTAATTACTAAAGTGATAAGATGCAAAAACCTACTAACCACTATTATTATAATTAAATTTTCCACGAGGGATAAGTGCAATAATATAATGCAGTGTAATGTTAAAACAAAATTATCTATTTGCTAAAGCAATTGAATTGTTAGTCGGTAGAGAAAATACAATCATGATTATAATTAAAGTGTATAACAAAACGTATATTATTAGAAAGAGTTTAAGAAAAACTCAAAACTTATATATACAAAAAAAAAAATTTAATATTTATTTAAAAAAATAAAAAATAAAAAATAAAAATATATATATACCTAATTAAAATAGATGTAATTTTGTGAATTTAAATATCAATCAGTTAATAAAATAACTTTTTTTTAATTAATAAATAATAGTCATTTTTAATGTTTTAAAATAATAGAATTTAAGATTTCTTTTATCTAAAATACTATTAAAAAATACAATTTAATTTTTATGTAACCACAAAAACTACATTATACTTATCAAAATAATTAATAACATAACAGTTAAGGCATATAAAATATAAAAATGGATAAGCAATCATGAATAGGTTAATGTAACGTTAAAAAGTTTAGGATTTAGTTATTTCAAGCAAGATAATTACACTTTGTTATCCCCAATTAATTTTAAATATAGTTAATTTGAAATTGATAGTAATTTTAAAGAAGTTATAAAGATTTCCGTATCTTAAACACACGCTTTAGGGTTAATTAATTAAATCTGAACTTAGAAAAGGAAAGATCGAAAGAGACGCAGATCCTTATAGAAGTTTTTTGGTTGCCAACTCAGAGCCCATTACTATTGATGCTGGTTTAACTAGCAAAGCTACATTTATTGTTCGAGTCTGTGGCGAACGAAAGCGTAAAATAATAAGAAAGTGAACAGAAAGTTGGATAAAACAATGTTTAGTCAAAGTTATTCAGTAAGAAGGATTAAGTCTTTTTCTATATTATAAACAACAGTATTGCGAGAATTAACTGATGTTTTTATATTCTAAACGCGAATCAAATTTTATAAAGTAAAATGCAAGAGTTTAAATAAAATTGTCACCGAATTAGTATTTGGTTTTTAAGATCTATGCGCGATAATTAATGTCGGAAGTTTGATCCTCCTCCATGCCTTTTTTAATATTTAAGTGCTGGCAAGCATCATATTCCACTTTCTGTAGTTATAAGAGCCTTTACACTAAAATTGTATATAATTTATCATTCAAATTTAAATCATGAATTTGTTACCCGTTAAGGTTATATGCTTAAAATGGTGGAAGTACCGTCATAGAATGGAAGAAAATATGGCGTAATTTTTATTTTATTATTTTAATTGATAAAACAATAATGAAATATAGTAAATTTTTTATAAAATTTATTTTATTAATTTGGAAAAATTGGTAATTTTATTTTTTATATATAACATATATAGTTACTATTATATTCTCATAATCTATTTACTATTATAAAATTATTTCACTAATATTTTTTTACCATGCCATGCACGGATTAAACATTTATTGGTACATGTGATTATTAATTCATATAATTTAAATATTAATAATATGTTTTTCTATAATAATTTAGATATAAATATTTTTTTAAAATATTATTTTTTAATTTATACATTAATACGTTTTCATATAAAGTTTCAATCTTTATCGAGTGTAAATATTATTTATTTTCCCAATATAAAAAAAATACAAAATGGACATTTTATATTAAACGAACATTGAAGGATATTTTATAACTCTTTAAGTTTAATTTTTTTGAGTAATTTTCAGGGTTTTTTTTTTATAAACAACTCACGTATTAAGGTAAATAAATAATTTAAAAGCATAGTTAATAATTTAAGTTTTTAAAATATTATATTTCACATATTTTATGAAGCATGCTTTTAAGAGTATATTAATCATATAATAATGTAAAATGATGACATCTATTATTTATATAATAGAAAGAGTTGCATACCGATATATTTTTATAAAAAAATATCTTATTATATTGTTAATAATATGCATACAAATTTTTGCTAATATAAAAAATTCAAGATAGATATCTTATGTTTAGTGAACAATGAAGAAAAGGGATAAATAAATAATACATTACGTGAATGGGAAAAAAGAAAGAAAGAGAAATATATATTTTAATATTGATAAATATTAATTCTTGAAAGATATCCTGTGAAAGGCGAATCTGAATTTCATCGCCATCAAGAAAGATATCTTCTAGGGCCCTTATAATTTCTAAGGATAAGTTAAACCACTGAATTATGCCCATCTTTGGATTAAACAATTGTCATGCTTTCACATGAACGTGTTTACGTGCGTCTAGAACGCATAAATTATTACGTGAAGCGTGTAATAGAACGCGGACAATGAAAATTCAAACATATCTATCAGATTTAATTTGGGAGCAGGAGAAGTACCTTGGTTCACTCAAAGAAATCATGACAGATAACAGTAAGAATCATCTTCTATGATGACGAAAGAAAAGATTTGTACAATGGAGATAGAAGATTGATTACAATGATTGATTGCTTTAATTTAAGTGTTAGTTTTTTTCTCTTTTTCCTTACTTTTATCAACTCTGCAGAAAGGAGCGGGTAGCATCATACTATCGTTCAAAGCAATCTCTGGTTAGAAGTTAACTTTACACTCCTTTTTAAGTATACCAAATTCTTTTGGTTATACAAGTGAGGTCAGAACCAAACAACCAAACAAAGAAATTATACCATTTTTACAGCAATGCTCAATGTGTAAGTAAACAAGATTATTCTATATTAATTTTTTATTTATTAGATGAAGATTTAAAAGTTTATGGTTTTTGGATATTTAACGTACTTATTTTATTTCATATTACTTTATCTAGTAATAAGGAGTGATTATTCAGTTCATTTCTTCATTAACCGTCCAATCTATCTGTGTATAAATCTATCTTAAATGAATGACTTGGATATTCATTATTTGGCGTGCATTTATCAATATTAATAATTGATTATTTATACCTCCTTTCAACAAATAATATATGTTGATCAGTAGTTGTTTGCATGCTATCACTAGTGTAAAAACAGTGTGCATACAATAATAGTAGACATCTATCAATTTTTTTTAAATAAATTACCTGGCCTACGGGTACAATCCAAGCTAATATAAACTATGGTGAGAAACTATTAATGTTTCGAATCCGCACTTACTTAGATAATATTAATAGCGAATATAATTGGATTGAATTATTTTAGCTTTTTTATTTAAATAATACAAATTTAAAAATTATTTTAAAAAATAGTGTTAATTTAAAATTATTTATATGTTTAAGAATTTTTTTCTACGTTTCTTAGTGTATCAAACTTTTATAAATGATACTATTTTTTTATTATTTTTTAAAATAATATATATTTTATATTGATGATATGCATGAACCGGGAGTAATCCAGAAAAACCTGACGACCATTGCATCCTAAAACTCGCATCTCGAAGGCTGTTGTCGAGCAGAGGCGTCTTTACTCTGTCTGTCATTAGGTATACCTCGTCTCACTTTTGTTGGTTTGTTCGCCAGCACAAGGGTTATTCCTTTGCTTCGCTTTTTCGTTGGATTTCAGTTTCATCTGAGACATTTCGATAATAACGATTTCTCGTGCTAAAATTAGTAACCCTAACCCCATAATACTTTTTTCCTCCACCGTCTGATTTTTTGAATGATTAAAAACTTTCTCTTGAACAAAAATTCAAATGTGAATAACATTATAAAATCACTGGGTTTGTACTAAAATTTATTTTTAAAAACAGAACTGTTTTTAAAACAGTAATTAGACATGATCTAAAAAAGTTATGCTCCTATATAAGCTATTCAATTCGGCTCAAACTAGTTTGAACCTAAAGTTACCGTAAATTTCAAACGCAAAAAAAAAAAAAAAATTAAAAAAATTCAGTCTTCATTACATTTTACAATAATTAATAATTTTCAATCTTGGTTCACATTGCCAACAATGGCAGTCCACTTGTCATCATGCCCCTAAAGAGCTTTTGACAGTTGACCTGAAATCGTGGATACTCCAAGCACATTAATCACGCGTAAACCCATATAGCTCGATTACACAGATTAGAAGATAGAGTTTTCCTTGGAAGCCTAGTCCACTACTGCTATTGTAGAAACGAACTTAAAATAATAATAATAAAAAGGACTCGAGAAAGGGACAACCATGACCAACATGTCATTGACAAAACTATCTCATGGATACGCATGGATACAGGGACTCTCCAAGCACATTAATCACGTGCCATGTAGCCCGATTACACAGATGAGAAGAGAAGCTTTTACTTGGAAGCTAAGTCAGCTACCACTACTAGAGCAGAAAAAAGGACTTAAGAATTTTATAAAAAAGAAAGAAAGGACCCAAGAAAGAGACGACAAATGACCAACATTCATACCTTTAATCTTTAAACACCAAAACCGGAATAAAATACATGTGTACGCACTTTAATAATCATATTATTATAACATCACATCATTCACAGTGAAAGTGATACCAAAATACGCATGTCAACCTTCTGAATTCATCAATCAATCTACCTCGTTGAAGCCGACACCTTTAGCCACCTCCAGATTTGAGTGTATTGCTCAACCTATATAACAAGTTCATTCATTAATATTGCCCCCACGATAATAGTCACGGTTTGTATAAAAAAAGGCGTTATGTTAACTATCGGATAGAAATGAAGCTTGAAGCAGTGTAACTCTAAACATCTTAAGATGTATAATCAACATTTACAAAAAAGAAACAAGGTAAACTTGCCTTCATATTTTCATAAAAAACACAGCCAAGTCATATTCTATTAGATACGGATCTCAATTGGCAAATCTATGAACTTCCAATCTTTCATATTTTGCAGAAACAATTCAAAACAATACATTCATTCAAGGAAATGATATTAAGTAACAAGGCAACCATTCCATTCTACCTCAACTGCCAAATTCAGCTATTAGAAAGCACACCTAGACCGATGCATTTACTTCTTTAATTATCAAAGATATCCATAAAAAATTGTTTATTTTTATTTTTTTGAAAAAATTATAAAAGAAATTTGAAATTATAAAAAATTATAAAGGAAGGGGATATAACAAGGAAATAATATAGCAAAGCAAACAAATATCTACAGATATTTGAAATTTTAATTCCCTTGAAACAGAAATTCTATTTGACTAACCAGTCCAGGCCCTCAAAAAGTCCTTCGCCTTTTATGGCAGAAGTTTTGAAAATAGCCCATTGGCGATTTTTAATCTTGTGTAACTCTAGGGCTTCCGTCACTGCAGCATCATCAAGTGCACCAGGAAGGTCCTGTATCGTGAAAAGAGATACATTTAAAACAAATTGATGAAATAGTTTTTCAAAATTTTACGCAGAAAGTATAATGACATATCATGAATGTTCACATGTTTATAATTAATTAAGTACAAGTTGAATACATCCTTTTGCATTCAAGACTACTATCAATAATATCAGCTTCCCAAATTTTTTATATACTCATTCTTTCCTTCTTATTGCCCTCATGGGAATATGAGAACCAACCAATATAGATAAAATTCCAACCTGTTTGTTTGCAAAAATGAGAACAACCGCACCTTTCAGTTCTTCCTCCTGAAGTAAAGGTTCAGAGAAAATAATTGGTATCAAGCATTATTCTTATAAATCTGAAATCACACTCATAGGCAACAGCATAACCATTAGCCAGTGTCAAAGGAGAAAAAGAAACAGAGCAAAAGCATCAATTTTGACAGATACATTACATTTTATAATAACTTGAAAATGAAATTGAAAAATCAGAGGGTATATTTGTGTGAAATTTGAGTCATGAAAACCACTTCAGAACACCAATTGCAATTGCTAAAGCTAAACCTTCAAGTTTTAACAACAAAGTCTTTCCTAACTATGTGCAATCGGCAACATGAATCAAATGAAACTACTAAAATCAACAAAAAACCAATTCTTCAAAGAGGCCATTCAGATCTAAATAATTTTTAATGGTTTCATTAAGGGATTGTTTGGGAGGAGGTTTTTGATGGGAAAGAAAGAGACCAAAATTTTTACTTTAAATGAATAAAATTATATATCATATTATATCCTTTAGCCTAAAAAGTTACCAAATTAAAATATACTCGGTTAAAACAGAAAATTCATCTTCTGCACACCCTTCCCCCTCCCGCTTTCCCTCCATAGCCCTCCTTCCAAGCAATTCCTAAGAGTTTTGCTCCAATTATAGGGCTTATCCTTCATCTGATCAGCACTTCTAATTGGACTCTATTAGTCTTTTTTCATATGTTCAAACCATCTTAGGCTCGATTCTATAATTTTTTCCTTGATAGATGCAACTTCTACTTTCTCTCTAATACACTCATTCAGGATCTTATCCTTTCTTATATGATCAATCATCCATGATCTAACTCAACATTCTAATCTTTGCAACAGTTATTGATTAATATTCAATACCATAAATCATCCGACTTCTTATGGCTGTGCAACAAAATATTCCTCAAACCTTAAGATGCCTTTCAATCACAAGTAACAACTAAGGCAAAAGTTTTCCTCTATTTCATCCTCTTAGCAAGTGATGAAGCTTCATGTAACTAGTTCAGTTAGAAATGCAACTTAGAGCACTACTCTCCCCTTATTTCAACTACTTATAAATTACAAGCACAAGAGTATTTTAAGAAGTAACCAAACTGAGTACTTCAGATCAGTGTTTTGAATGACTTGTAATATAAGAAATTTTTACACTGCCTCCAAGCCTAGATTATTATTTGTACAAGTTGTTATGAGTGACATGTACATTCATGTTTTTCTCATTCTAATTCTTAAAAGATGATATTAAATATAATTATATGAACATATTAAAAGTAAAAGTATAAAAACACACATAACACAAATCAGAAATAACGTACTTCCAGAATTGCATGGAACTCCTCCTTAGCTATCACAAGCCTATCAGTGTCACTTGAATCAACAACGTAGATTATTGCTTGAGTATTTGGAAAGTAACACCTCCAATATGGCCTACAGACAAAAACAAAAATAACCAACCAAAAAAAGGATGGAGAAATAAATGGAGATTACATCAATTGCAGTTTTATCTTCCCAGCTTGTGGTTTCAATATGCCAGTGGTTTGTTCTGCTATCATGTTACCACCACATGCATATTTATGCCTATTTTTGAGAGAAATGATGTGTAAGGTATAATGTATGCACAAAATGGGGTCGTCATTGGGCATTGAAACTTCTTGGAACAATGTATTTTTATGCTGCACATGCTTGTCAAACGCATTTTAGGATGACATGAACAGAAAAAAGTAAGGATAGTTATATTTATACATGATTACAAAACAATTGTTAAAGGCAAGGTGGTAAAGCTCAAATCTCAAGGTGGTATGTCAGAATTGAACCAAACTACAAGCATAAAACTGAAATTAACCTTATAAATAAACTTATATAAGAGAAATTTGAATTTTCATCTACAAAGAATGGCTACTTTATGTTCCCTCTTGGTAATAGGTTTCTTTCCAAAATGTGCAGCTACCATCGTTTCAAATGTATAGGATTGGTTGGCGATATCAAGTTGCTGTCTAGCCCCTGGTCATAATAAATATTGGCCTCAAAGCCTATGATATCTTGTGAAGTTGTCATTATACATTGTGTTTTTTCAAATAATTATTATTCATTAAGATTATAGATATTTATATTAGAAAGAAATATATTGATTAATTATTCTTAAGGATTGGTATTTTTCTATTCTACTGCAGGGGAAATAGCCTTGTGGTGTCACATGCACATATCAAGGACTTTATATAGGAGAGTTAAAGGACTCAGACAAAAAAAGGCAGAGCATGAAGAGTCTAGTAACCCAAATTGAAGCAAAAATTCCTCGACAAGGTAGCCATCAACAATTGTAAGACATTCTCACATCAAATAGGAGTGATAAAAAAATACAAATTAGGGTGACAATGTAACACATCAAAAGTCACTCACTGTTCTCTGTTAAAAGTAAAAATTATAAAAAAAGATTACACATCTTCCATTAGTCAAAAGAAGCAAGAATGAAATCAAAATGCTTACCTGATACTTGTTTGCCCTCCTGTATAAACAAATGTTTGATATCAGAATTTAAAATTGAAATAAACTCCTATGTTAAAACATATTAAGTGCATATTTGGAAGCATTTCATTTTTAAGAAATAATCAATTATTTGTCTACAAAGTAAATATGTAACAAGGAAACCTGAAACATGAAATTATTATGTTATCATCTAAATTCTTATCTTCACTTGTACTGTATCAAAATTCAAACATATCAATAGATAGAAATATGTGTGGCCAAAAGAGGACAAAAATATGCCAACTTATTTATGTGTTGCAAATGGTGCCAAGCATTAAAACTAGCAGATGTCATGTCTAAAACATGAGCTAATGTACGCTTGCGTGTATTGAGCATGAGATAGAAGATTGTCACACTATACAAAACAAACAGAAGACTTACACTGAGAGACTACTAAATGAAAATGGGAAAAAGAATATAAAAGCTACATTCCAACATTCTAAAAACAAGGGATCCAATGAAAAACCTGTGATATTTAGAGGATCCAGAAACATATTTAAATCCTTTATTTAATGTATGTTCAGATGTATACATGTTTTATTTTACTTTGTATATTTTTTATATTATTAAACACAGTTTTTAATTAAAATTTTTTAGTATAAGACTTAAGCCTTCCTCATTCTCAATAATGCTAATCTCTATGACTCTACTGTTGGTTTCAAATTGGTTAGCTCAACAAGGGAAGAAAAATAGGTGCCACAGCTAGTGCATAAAATATACAGAATTAGTGGGAATCAAAAAGTGACTAAGGTCGTTACCTAAATCCCAGACTTGAAATTTAATGTTGTTATACTGCACTGTTTCAACATTAAACCCAATTGCTGCATCAAATAATCAAATAAATCAATCAGCCACCATACAAAAGGATACAAGGAAGAGCATAAATACCATCCATGCAGTGGAAACATTTACAAGCAACACGCGCATGCATAACGAGAAAAAAGAACTATAGCATTCAAAATTTTATCTACATTTTGTACATAGAACACACGGAACAACTTTAAGGATTTTAAATAACAGATATAACTATATTATATTAGATATTAAATAACAAAATTAATTGAGTTCAAAAAATATAACCAGAGAGTAAGGAACCTAATATTCAAAATAAGATCGGTCGGTAATCGGTAACTTCCAAAACCAAAAATGTTTAGCCGCCAAACGAACTAAAAATTAAAGAAAATGCAGACGATAAGATTCAGGTAAACTTAAAAACGAGATCGAGAACCAACTTGGAATGGTGGAGACAACTTCACCCATTTGAAGCCGATCTGAAAAAGAAGGTAAGAAAATCCAACAAATCAATACGATAAACAGCAAATTAGACGGCGAGACATAAGCACAGAGGTAGGAAACATACATAGAATGGTGGTTTTGCCGGCATTGTCGAGGCCGAGAACGAGGATTCGAGCTTCCTTGTTACCAAAAAGAGACGAAAACAATCTCGTAAACACTATTCCCATCTTCCGATTCGGCAGAGGGAGGAACAAGGTGCAATTACAATTAGCGCATCAATCAGTTACAAATGAGTTCTCCTTTCAAACGAAGGAAATGAATGAAAACAGGATCAGATCTCAAATCGGAAAGGATGAAGCTGACGAGGAGGAAAAGTGAATGTGAGTTTGAATCTAAATTTGCGTTCGTAGCGGGACAGAGGGGACGAGGATGGCGAATTTGAAAAGTAGATAAGAGAGAAGGATCGATTAGATTTGGCGAGGTTTTCAAAGAGAAGAAGCGAATCGAGAACGGAAGAAGAAGGAAGCACGAACGAGGAGGAAAATAAAGATATATTAGTAAATGGTTTCGTTCAATTCCCTCGCCCTCCACCTTTCGGTTTTGGGATCTCGCTCCCAATAGCACCCGCATTCTATTCTGCTGTCATTTCGCGCATTTAGCAAGGTACCATGAATTTTGGGTCTGGGCCTTTTCGTTTGTAGACTTGGACTTTTGGGGCCTGGTCCTTTTCCTTGTTGCTTTGCCAACTAATTGTATTTTTTAAAAATGTTTTTTTAGTGTGAATTATATACTATTTTATTTTTTAAAGTTTTTTAGTTAATGACATTTTTTTATTTTTTTGTAAATTTTTTAAATTATTATTGTCAATCTAAATATTTGAAGATTTTATGATGATGGAATTAGGGAGTTTAGTTAAAATATGATAATTGTTTTTCAAAAAATATAAGTTGTGAAGTTAGGGTTTGAAAAAATATATTTTAAAATAATTTTATTTTGGTGAAATATAATATTTTAGTTGATAAAATTTTAGCAAAATATATTTTATTTTATTCAACTTGTAAAATTTTATAAGAAATTCAGAATTTAAGAAAAAAAGTTAATAAGGGATTAAATTTGCTAGCTTTTAAAAGTAAAGAGAGATAATTGATTAAAAAACTTGGAGATTCAAATCGCACATGATTACAATTAACTAAATAGAAATATTTAATACTAACTCTTAAATTAATATCTTTGTGAGAAATCGCACATATTTTGTGTTGACAGTTTGTCAGGTTAATCTGACCTGGGATGGTACAGATTTCCTTTTGCTCGCGTTTGAAAGAAGACAAGTTAAAAGAAAAATGTTTGACTGAATGCCAACGCTTTCCTTTCGTGAGGATTTGTTTTATGGAGTCTCTGCTGTATGATTCGTGAACATATTAAAAAGTATTTTGTCAAAGTCATTTTTAAATTTAAATATAAATAAAAAGCAGAAATTGAAATAGAATATTAAAAAAATTCATTATTTTTATATTAAATATTTTATTATATTAAAAAATAATTTAACAGATAATATTTAAAATTAAGGAGAAAGTTATGAAAAATAAATTATTAAAATTTAAAAAAATTACTTTGACTGTATTGATAGTGTAAAATTTAAATCAAACTACAGCAAAATTTGATAAAAATAAGCGATTTAATATAAGTAAACGTGTATAGTGTGTGTGTAAGAGAGAGATGAATGTAAGCTCATCCCCCCATGCTTATTTTACAGTTAAAACTGTGTTTATTGATTTCAATTATCGGAGATTTTGCATCATCAAAAGAAGTACATGTAGTGTTCTGAGGAAAAAAATGTAGTATGATAAGACATTGCTCATTATATGTCTGCATCTACGTGCATCTTGGGTCCACAGCTCCATCCAGAATAGATAGTAGCACGAAGAAATTGACGGGACAAAAATCTCATCAAGCAAGGTCCCAACCTTGCTATCGTAATATCCCCATTCCCCCACCAATCAACCTACCCTATGACAGAAAATAAATTAAGAGTAAGCTAAACTATTAATATAATTAAATATTTATTTAATAAAAACTTCACAGATCCTAGTGTAATAACTAATAAGTTACAAAGATTATTTTAATAAACTTCCAGTAGCTCTTTTAAAGTGTATATATATATATATATCGAGAACTTCTCCATAAAGTTTATTGAAATAAACTAGAAAATAAAAACTTGAGTTATTAAATACAATCATAAGTCGATATATATTTTAAGTTTGTGAGGTAAAATTACTTCCAAACGTCGCTTAAAAGTTTCATATGATATTTCTATCTCTCTATTAACGTACAATGATTTGAACCAAATCCTTTCTCATACGATGACTATCGGTTATTTCAGTAAAAACTATCGGCGTAGTGTTAAGAATAATAATGAATAAAAAACAAAATAGAGAAGAAATTAAGTAGAGTATAAATTAAAAGTGATTAACTCAGGCTCGCTTAAAGCTCTTTCTAATTACCAGGGAAAGGTATGTGTCATGTTATTTTGTACGTAAGGGCAAGGCAATTTACCAGGCTTGGCATGAAGCGGGGCCATAGTAGATGCTACACTTATTTTTCCCAAGGAAAATTAAGCAGCCATAGGTTAAACACAATTTCCTTTTATTAGTAAACCTAGTACCGAACTGTTCCTAACCATAAAACAAGAAAATACCCGCCATACACAGCTAGATTCTGCTTTCTACATAACAGATTGGAAGATCATCTCGGCTAGCTCCTGTAACATACCAAAAAGATCTTTATTAGAATCTAGGAAAAATTCACGGTAAGATGTCGATAGATAAATACGGCGAGAGGACAAAAAATGTTAACAAATACAAAATGTAACTGCTTGAGCAAAAGCAATTTAGTTAGTCAATCAGCATAGGTTTAAAAAATAAATCTCCAATCTGGAAAAAAAATGTTTTCATTTCATCATGTTCTTATCATCTTATTTATACTGCAGAGGACAAAAGCATTTTTTTCAATCTCGGTTAGAGCCTCATGAAAAATGGGTATCAAAAAGAGCACCATTTCCTCAAAAGCATAATAACTGAGATGATAGAAACATCTTATTGTTTGTATTCCAAGAAGAGAACAATTAATTTCATGAAGGTGTCTAGAGGATAATATTTTTGAAGTATAATGTTGAGGTCTTCTAGGTTTGGTGGTTAGTTAGAGCTGGTTGTGGGGGTGTCTTTCATAAAAATTCAGGTGTTTGGATCCTGAGGGATTGCTAGAAATTTGGGATCTTATTCTATTCTTCATGCTGAATAGTCAAATTTACATTTGTTCAATATACATTGGGAAAGCAAAATTTATACTATTGAGCAGATAATTTAACTCTTCCCCTTGTTTTTACAGAAAATTTATATTTTGAGTTACCTGCTTCGCAGAAGCAACATTTGGTTCTCCCCATTCCTTGACCTTTCTCTCAAGCATTTCAAAGTCAGCTTTACCAGCCTATGGCAACATACATTCCAACAAAATTAACCACAATAAGCACTAAATAGAGAGGAGGAAAAGAGAACGTTGGAAGAATGTTACCTCTATTTGAGCCCCAATTTCAGTGTCAAAACTCTGATATCGCTTGCGGACAAGCTCAGCAAGAGAACCATCCTTTGGTCCAACATAATGAGAAACGTTTAGTTTGATTCTCATGAATGATAAAAAAAAGCTTTCATTGAGTTTACACATCTGGATTATGAGAATATAATTAATAGATATAAGGGAGGATACAGTGTATCACCTCGATTAACTTGGCAGCATTCCTGAGGCCACGGGCCAGCGTGTCCATTCCAACAATGTGGGCAATGAACAAGTCTTCAACATCCGTGCTCTCTCTCCGCCTATAATATTGCTCAGTGAAGAAATTAAAAAGAAGAACCCATAAACCAAACAAACGGGAAGACAAGTATAAAAAAAGGTGGACTCACAATTTCGCATCAAAGTTAAATCCACCAGGTGCAAGTCCTCCCTGGAAAAGGCAAAACAAAACAAGAAGAACCCTGTCAGATGAGATTGCATTTCTTATTTGTAGAGTTTTGCATTTCATGATGTAAGCTTAGAGACAATCGTTGTCTTACATTTCTGATCACACTGAGCATAATCATTGTAGCCTCTTGAATATCCACGAGAAATTGATCTGTGTCCCAACCTGCAGAGATGATAAGTGATAACAGCTTCATATTACAACTTCCATTTTTGTGACATGTTAACACAAAGGCCATTTTTCTATTTTAAGAATAACATTATTTATTAAATGAGAGAATTCATACATACCAACTTGAGGATCACCAGTGTTAGCATCAATATTACCCAGTAATCCATTGATCCTTGCAGTTTCAAGCTCATGATGACAACTACCAGGTACAACACACATTGAAGGTACAAAGAACATGTCCAGCTTCAGTTATAATTATCAAATTTAAAATGGAAAGCACAATCAAGGATATTGCATGTAAATGCAATGGATGATGATAGATTCACCTGTGACCAGAGAGGGTGGCGTGGTTGCACTCTATGTTGAGTTTAAATTCCCCTAGAGAAGAAGGAACGAGGCAGAGAGAAAAAAGTAAAGTGGAGAAACATGGTTCATAACAAAGGAATTAGAGAAACATTAAGTGTGTGTGTGTGTATAAATAAGTGATGAAGAGAGTCATCCTGCTTTCGTTAGTTTGGCTTCAGCTAAATTAATTCAAACAAGGGACCGTTGGCCATTAATTTTAAGTAGACAGAAAATTTTTTAACTCAAAAAAGAGGAAAAATTGGTGTCACATCGAGGACAAAACTGACACAAGACTTACAAATATGTATTTAGAGCAAGGGTAAAGAAGACAGCAGAAAAAGGTATTTTACATAACAGCTCTATATTTAAGCACATCAAGAAAGTTAAAAGTTGTATACAATTAAAAATCTTAATTACGCACTGCATGACAAAAAATTCTTAATATGGAAAGCTATAACATTCAACTTTTAGTTCCGGTGGAGACCATTGGATGCAAAGGACAAGTAAAAATATTACCTGTAAGTCCATATTTTCGCAAGAAATTAGCTGTGGTTGCAGCATCCCAATCATACCTGTAGGAATATAAGTTTAATACAGGTAACAACTGGTGCAAAATTACTGAGTTAACAGGTAAGATGGGTACTGGTGTTTTGTAGGTTCTTGTGGCTTTGGTTCAATTAGCAGTGTCCCTGAAATCACATAAGGAAATGAAATTACACAAGAAAGATTCCTTTGTCGAGAGAAAAAGATAAGAAAGAACAGAAAAACATTTTCATTCAAATTTTTGTGGAGTAACACACAGAGATAAAAGAATCAGAGTTATAACCTTCCAAGCATCTAGCTATTAAGATGATTAGTGTGCCCTACTTTTTCTACATTTCATAATTTAGTGCTATAAAATACAAAAGCTAGTTGGCATTCCAGAAAATGTTACCATTGAATCCAATCTTCTTTTTGTGCGCAACAGCAGCTTCAAGAAACCTAGCCTGTAATCAGGTAAATGAACAACATTAATTATGAAAAGTACCGTACAACACACTGCAGAAGACAAGACCATTCAAATATTTTGGCGTAGGCAATGGATTACGACAAGCTCATGA